ATATATGCTTAGTATTTTGTGTTTCTGTACTTTTATATTATTATGACTCTAAGTGTGTTAAGGATATTGAATAATAGGTTATCTTTTTTCAGGGAAGAAATTAGAATACATTACAGATAGTTAGGGTAACAAAGTGATGGCTAATTTTAAATTTTAGTGTCAGGTGGTAAAAAATTAATCAGTCTCTGGACCAACTGTTAGAAGACCTGAATTCCAATGTGGTTTTGCCTTTGTATTCTTATTTATAATAAAAATATGGCATATTTGTAAACAACATTATTGATGTGAAAATTATAGGTGAGGAAAGGTATTTTTTGAGATGTTTTCCTATATACTATATTTGTATTAATATGAGCATGTTTAAAATTACATACTGTTAGGAAGCAACTTTTCTACCTTCCTATGTAGGGAGGAAGCTCCTGTTGCTTTGAGACAGTCAGTTTTGGAAATTGGTTGAATTGAAGAACTGATGTACTTTGGTTTAGCATCCTGACAGTTCTCTGCATCATCAGGATTCCACAGTATTTTGAGAACCCAGATCTCATGCTAAACTATATGGATTTACATGCCACAGTTCTCTCTCTCCTTTCCTCTGAGTTTGGTTGGATCACTGAGAAGGGTTGGCTAACCCTTTAAAAACATGGCTTATGCTGGCATGGTATGATACTTTTAGGCTGCTGCTATTTCAGCGTATCTGGCTGAAACCTCTGCTGAGCAGTTAGCATAACACAAAAGTATCAGTTTTTCTCGACACTTCCTACACAGAACTTTTATATTCTTTATTTGTTTAAGAAAATATAGGATTGGAATCATGGAAAGGGATATCCTTCCTACATTCCTTCTGATACTTTTAAGAATGTAGAAAGAAAACTTCCATGTTAAAACAATTTATTGAAAATAGAAATCTTGGCTGGTAGCACACTTGCCTAGCATGTATGAGGCACTGGGTTCAATTCTTAGCACCGCATATAAATAAATAAAGGTCTATCAACAATTAAAAAAATATTTAAAAAAAATTTTAAGAAGGTGTTTATCCAGTAGATAGGAATTCAAGAAGGGCTGGTCCACTTCACAATATCCCATAAAGTAGATATCGTGATTTTCATTTTGTTGATGAAAAAATTTGAGGTCTTTACCACACAGCTAAAAAGATGGAGAAGATAGGGACTTGTGTTCATATAAGTCTGTTTACAGAGTTGCTCTGCTATACGTGGAAAGGACTTATTCAGTCTCACATGATTGCTAACAGAAGACTCTGCAAGTTATTTAACTTGATTTTGACTTAGTTTCTTTATCTGAAAAATATAATGGGCTCAACCTTAGGATTGTAAGAATTCAATTAGGAAATGTACTTCAAGCCACCACCATAGTAAATTAGTTAAAATATTAGCTTCTACACCTATTGTGTGAAATCACAGTAGCAGTTGACTGACTCAGGACAGAGGTGGAGGTATTAGGGTTTGGGATAGCTGTGGTTAAATTGAGTATGGTGTACTTAATCCCAATGTCAATTTTAGTCTTTAAATTAGCCAGAAAATTAAATTTCTATGAAGAGCATCTTGTTTCCCATTCTTTGAAGAGTGGGAGAGGGAGTACATTTCTGGTTCCTCTTAGTAATTTAAAAAGATGAATATCCATAATTTTAGGGGGTGATTTAAGTAATATAAGGGATATTCTTCCTCCCTCCCTGTCCTTAAGCTTATGTTTTAAAAGGAGATGTGGGAAAAGGCATCAGTCTTTCATAGATTGTGCCAGTTCTAATATGAATGAGGACTACTTTGTAAAAGTTAACATAGTAGCTTGCTGAATTAAGTGTATTCAAAGAAGGGGAAAAATCAATATTAACTCATTTTGTATCATCCCAGATGTGGAATACCTATAAAAACTTCAATACAGTATATGATGTACAATATGTAATTACATAATGATTTTTTTTTAAAGAGAGAGTGAGAGGGGAGAGAGAGAGAGAGAGAGAGAGAGAATTTTTAATATTTATTTTTTAGTTCTCGGCGGACACAACATCTTTGTTGGTATGTGGTGCTGAGGATCGAACCCGGGCCGCACGCATGCCAGGCGAGCGTGCTACCGCTTGAGCCACATCCCCAGCCCATACATAATGATTATTAGTGTTAATATATATAAGCTCTAGATTATAACTTCCTATCTATTTTAATGTACCTGTGTTAGTTTCATTGAGATATTCAAAGAATTGCAAACGTGGGCCTTGTTGGGTTAAAAAAAAACAACTTTGTTTCCAGTGCTCTGAAGGAGTTTTCTGAAGTCTGTTTCTTTATTAACATATAGCAAGTGACCTACAAATTTTACTTTGCTTGTCTTTAAGCTGAGTGTATCAGTCAGCTTCTTGTTGATTTGAATCATTTTTTACATCTGTTGGTGAAATGTTTAAAGAGAGAAATGACTCTTATGCCTTTTGGTGCCATGGGGTAAACCTCTGAATTAAGCTGTTACAAGTGAACACTCTCCCTAGGGTTTTAATGTTTATCCTTTGAAGTTATCAGGGGTTGGAGTTAAAGCTTCTGCCACATGATCTTCCCTGGAGTACTGGTTGCCTATTCTCTTTTTCTAGCCTTCCAGTGATTCTGTGGCACCCTATAATCCTGCTAATAAATTTCTTTTTGCCAAAGTTTACAACCCAAAATCTTGACTGATAGACATCCCCTCTTTAGGAAAGCTAGGCAACCCATTTCTATGGTAATCATCCAGCACATGGGAACTGTCTTATCCCAGACACATTAAGGTACCAAGATGGAAAGTGCTCAATAAATGATGACTAAATGAAAAATGAGGGTGTACTCAGTTTACTTCAGTCTATTTTATAAATAATAATTTGAAAGACATAAGGAATAAGTTATAGTAGACAGTAAAAGGGAAGCAGCCTGTGTGACTGACTTGCCTGCATTGTTGGAAAGGCTTGCTGAGGGAGAACAGTTTGAGCCTTGGGTTGCATACCTGCTTTGTTGGTTAAATCTATGTCTAATGGGGATAGTCTGAAGCTATATTTCTGGGACTGTCTGGAGCATTCAAGGAATCCTAGGAAAGACAGCATGAAGTGTTTTTGGCACATTTCTTAACATTTGTCTGAATCTTGATTTGTTATCAGAATAGTCCCTTATTTCAGGAGTCAGAGTCTAAAAATAGAAATAAAGAAAACTAGTTTGTGGGAAATCTCAGATATTACCAAAAAGTATAGACTGGTCCTTTTGTGTTGTTTTTTTCAACTGATGCAAAATATTCCAAGTTAGTTATTTTATGCAGTGGTTTTTTCCCCCTTAACAGACTTGTGATAACCATATCTTTTAAATCTGTAAATAATGTTATCAAAATAATCTTTGAAATATTTTACAATCCACCCTGAATATCAAGGCTGCAAGAATAATATAACATTTCCTATATCCAAATATTTTCAGCTGTACCCAAAAAGGAAAAAGAAAACAAAAACAAACAAAAAAACCACATATGTTTTGTTAAGGGCTAAAGTTACCTGAGCAGCCAAAAATAAAATATCCAAATTATTAGCATTAATTTAATACAATTATAACTTCAATAGTCACTTTGTCATTTGACAGGGGTGAGTGCCCCAAGGGCTGGTAGTAGAAGCTGTTGCTGCAGACCAGTGTCTCCTCCTCTCTGCATTTCTGCACTGCCAGCTCCCATCTGTGCATCGCCCCATATGTACTGTGTGTGTGTATTTAAAAAATCATTCCCACTACGCAAACTTCTATTAAGCAGGTAACAGGGAAGAACAACAACATAAGCTAAACAAGCCAACTGCTCTTTCTTTGGGATATGATTATTTCCCTTGTGCATGGAATATTCAACAACATAAGAAAAGGAAAAGAACAATTTCTTTTGTATATTTCCTAAACACAAGCTGAGTTTACAAAGTCAGATTAACTGTGAGCATTTATATGCCTACTTCCAGGCATCGTCATCTGATGTTTCACTGCTACTCATTTCTGTGTCTGAGTCCTCAAACTGCTTTATAAGTGCTTCTCCAAGGGGAGAATAGGCTGGAACAGGGCTCTGCAAGAAGCCATTCTTTCTGAAGCCATTTCTTCTCAGCTGCTCTGTCTTCATGTCTTCTCTTTTAGCTCATCCTCTGTGAGAGGAAGCAATTCTCATCATTTTCAGGATATTCTTGCTATCCCATTGATTTAAATAATGTGTGCTCTGCTTCCAGAGAGTAAAAGGACCACTCCCTTCTACTACAGGGAAAGAGACCATTCTGAAGACAGCCTTCCTCCCCATTTTCCTTTGGTTCAGGTGTGCTGTTGTCCTCCAAATCCTCCAGCTTGTCACAGTCTCTGTTCTCT